ATCCATTTGATAACATTAAACATTATCCAATCATTTTAAAAATTAATGAAACAATATTAAAACAATGTATTAATAATGAAAATAAAACATTTACACAAACACTGACATTATATAAAATTACAAAATATTGCTGGTTAACAATAACACAGTACATTAAATCTATTGGTTGTTTTTAAATTATTAGATTTTGCCCAGGGTTATTTGCTTCAGAGAGACAAATGCGGATGTGCCAGGATGAAATTGTTGGAAATTTCTTAGTTAAATCAATGGAATACATGTTCGTAAAGAGAGAAGGAGCCACATCCATTGGTGGATTAGCCTTAGAAGAGGTTGCAGTTGTCAGGCTAAACAACATCAAGGAACTGATCTATGACTACCTAAACCAATATGAAGATGTGTATAAGAGACAGGTTCCATGACAGAGCCATAGGTTTTTCTTTCAGTTACTTTCATTTACTGTAATATTTTTCTTTCATTCATTTGTCAAATTGTGAATTATATAGCTGTGCTCTCTAAACAAATTTGAACACACTTTAAAGTAGTATCCATTTTGACGTGCTAGCTAGCGCTTGTCATTTTGTTTTTACGTCAGATGAACTGAACTTTAATAATGGAGAGATATTTGTCAAATTTGGAGGAGACAAAGGTGGCGACACAACAAAATTTGAATTGCAAATTTGTTGCCTGGAAAAACCAAATGCTCTTCACAACGTTATTGATGTACTGGTCTTTCAAGCTCCAGATCTTACAGTCAATATTGAAAAGGGCTTAAAACTGATTATTGATGAAGTGATAGACTTGGACGGGAGCCAGTGGATTTCACCAAAAACCCAAATGTAATTATGTAACCATTACTGTAACTGTTTAAAGTGTAACTATATCCACCCCATCCCAAATTTTACAATTTTCTAAAATATTTAATTATTACTGTATATATTATTTTATTATAATGGAATTTTAAAAATTACCAATTTACAGGTAATAAGTATTTTTAGTTTGAATTGTAATAAACATCACACATTTTAATGTAATTTTTTTATGCCATTGCAGGACTCATAACATCCGCCTCTTTTTCTTCGGGGATTATGACTTTCTTTGCAGAATATATGGCCTTGTGGGTCCCAATGGTGAGTAAAATTTACATTAATAACTTAATTTGGAATTTGTTACACAAAATGTGTCTATAAATTAATAATTGAACTATATTTTATAGGGAAATACAGTTGCATATATTGCTTCTGTAGTCAGGATGACATCAGATCTAACCACCCACACAAAGGTCTTAGATGCCTGAGGAGCTACAATCAAGATTATAAATGCTTTGTAGATCACGGTGAAGACCCAAAGAAAAGCAAAACAATATCTCATAGTGTCATCAGGCCTTATATGGTAGACATCGAGTTAGATAGGGTAGGTATTGTATATTAGTCAAATTAGAATTTTATTTCAAAAATTTTGTAACAATGTTAAGAGTTAAAATAACTGTCAAAATCTGTTCATAATAATATGCATACCTTCTTCTTCATTATATAATGTATTTCCCATTTCCTTTTAAAAAAATGTATATTAAACTGCAAAGTGAATATTATTTCCCTATGATTTTTAGGTGACAATTCCAGCTCTGCATATTTCGCTTGGTCTCTTTAAGAAGATGTTCGATATGTTAGAGAAAAGCATTCATGACCTTGATCTACTAATATTCAACATGCGACAGGATGCTTCACTTCCATCTGGTAACCATTTTCAGATGACCATTTCATATTTCAATAACCAATATTTAATCCAAAATTTAATTACAAACTGTAATTGTTTTGAACATTTTCAGGGCAACATCTTGCAGAATTTGAGAAGAGAGTTGTAGAAGCTGCAGATCATCGCAGTTCATGTGAACAAACAATCCAGTCTTTAAGTGAAAAAGTAGATGAGTTGCACAATGAATTGTCCAGGTGCCTTGTTCAAAATGTACATGATGCAAAAGTAATTGCTGATATTGGCCATCAAATCACTCTGAAAGAACAACAAATCAAGGATTTGGTAAGCAATTGTTTACAGTAATGTAAATTTGAAAAAAGTAATTCAATGTGAAATAAAATAAAATAAACAAAATATTACATTTCATATTTTGTAGCAAACCTCAATTAACCAAGACCTACGATTTGGGACAGGACCACTTGTAACCAAGATGGATGAAATCCTAAGGACAAACAAAATCCCACGGCAGCAATACCATGGGAAAAGTTTTGTAGGTAACCATGTCCACAGAGCCTGGAAGGTATGCAATCAATATACATTTAGGGTGGAAGGGGGTTTTTGCCTCGCGTACGCTTTTAAAATTATTTTCAAGGACAGACATCTTACAGTACAAGATCTCTATATACACTATATTGAAATGTTTATTGTGTCTTCGATTTCGCATAGAATCAAACTATTGTAAAATCGGAAGTATAATTTAATTTTTAGTACTATTGTAAAATGTCTGTTTCGGGTCCTTTTTTTGTTAGTCTTGTTATGGAGA